TTCAATTTCTTGGATTTTCCGCTGGGAAAATTAGAAAAACGCGTATAACTTATGAAGGAAGCAATTTGCGCCGCTATCCTTTTAGACTTTTTCATATCTCCATATGACCTATCGATCGGTATATGAACGAAGGAAATCGGAATCCGACACCTGAGAACGTTCCCTCGTTAGTTTTCTTGATTGAAGTTCTGAAATTATAGTTTAGGTATGATTTTGTAGAGAATTTCGCGGCGTATCTTTTAAAATAAACATCGAGTCTTGGAAACAAATCTGAACCAAGTTAAAAGCAAAATACTGAGAGGGTCATTCTTTACGGTCCCGTTATATTCTTGTATTCTATAAGGATGGCAACTTTTGACATGTCATATCCAGGATTTTTTTAGCATCTATATTGATTATACAACATAGTAGATAAAAATCAATGATGAATAATTTTTTCAATTTCAAACCCATACTCGAAATTCACTAACCAAGATTTATCGAACCACCATAATATTTCGATGAATAATGATAATATTTTGTTTGATTTTCATTTTCGAATTGTAATGCATCAATTAAATTTTTTAATTGAAAAAATTCCTGATCAAAATTATTGTTACAGTTATTGCCACTATCAATTACTTTAAATAATTCTTCTATGTTTCTTACTTCTTCCATTATTAATCTAAGACAATGATGAAATACCATATGGTAAATACCATATGATGTTTCCATTCTTCGTTCGTGGAAAACTTTTTGTGTTTGACACAATATATTTGAAAAATGATGCAGATAAATGTCAAAAATTATCATGTTATTAAACACAAAATTTTTTCCAAGAAAGACGAAAGTAAACACAATATGGTTTTTACCGTTATTTACCCATTTCCATGCATTCAATACTTACTAAAAGGATCGTAAGAAAAATGACATCACATTCTCCTGACTGTGAGTCTAGGGTCACATGAAATAAATGCCAGCGCCAGCGTCCGCAAATATGAGCTAGTAATGTGTAAGGTTCTAAGTCATGAAAATGATATAGTACAGTTAATCGACCATCCACAGTCCGAAAATGACTTTGAGCGACATCTAGGAGTAAGAGAATGGTTTCGAGCGTCCTTTGGCAACTATCCTAGTGGCCGAAATTTCGTCCGATTCTTTGCGTCTTTTTTTCGTGTTTTTCATCTTTTACCTATAAGCGTATCACCGATAGGCAAAATTTTTAAATAGAATCATTAGGTTGTCAGCCATGAAAAATAAGTTCAGAAAATGGTTTCATCGGAATTGCTGGATATTAGAAAAAGTGAACCGATTAAAACGTACACTGGCAGTTAGCAAGCTTAAAAAATGTCTTTTATTTTTCTAAATACTTTTTTCGTCTTGAAATGAAGCAGATAGTAGGTGCTTAGTGGATAACACATCTATGCACTTAGGAATGTTCACATAGGTAGAACATTTCGAGGTAGTTTCTATAGTGATAGGCTCATAACGGAGTAAGCTTTTAGCGTTCTCTCTCTTCTTTCTGTGTTTCTACATGTACCGAATTTGTTCAATAACAATTCTTTATGATTTCATGATTGTGTATCTTGTCAACGAAGATCAAAGATTTGATGTGGTTTTATAAGATCTTTATGGGAAAGAAGATTTTCGTAAATTTGGAAGTGTAGTAAATACATTTTTTCTTGGAATATTATGAAAATAGCTTTTAGTGGCTAATTTCTCACGCATGAAACAATACACTTCATAAAGCCTTAAGATTTACCATTGGAAAAATCGTAATAACAAAATGTAATTTTTTCTAAAACTTTTGATAGATGCACAAATTATACAGGTAGCTTAACAGCAGTTTCGCAATTCAGTCACGTTACATTCAGTTACTAGTATTTGAAACGGAACGGGTGAAATTATATAATAATAATAAATAATAATAAATAATAACTAATAATAGTAAGATCAAGAGATTTAGTTTTATATTTTCTTCTTTTTGAAAATTAACTAGAATTCTTTTTCTTCTAAACGTATAAGTAAAACTCAATCCTTGTGTTCAAGAGCAGTATGCTATTGAGAGTTTCCAAAGCGTCAAACCCAGAAGTGGAATTAAACACATCTATGATTTCTATTTAGATAAAATGCCATACGCTTCTTTTTTTACTGTTCTATTTTTTCTGTTTGTATTCTGAAAAAACAAATACATCACAAGCACGAGTGGCAAGATCGATAAAACAAGATAACGGTACAAACTGTACGTCGCGTTTGAACATTCATGCTCGTATACGATTACTCTATTATGGGATAAAACTAATTCACTTTAACTCGGTTATTCTTAATCAGATAAAATTTTGCACAGAAAATACAAAATTTATCAACTATATAAAATTTTCTAACTAAATTACCTAAAAATTTTCCAACTGATATTTTTAATCTTCTTAAATCTAAACGTATACCATCTGTATGTAATGTTTTTATTTTACCATGTTTCACGATAAATAATCACTATCGTCGATTTGATTAATAACAAATTGACTGAATTCAACTCTTTTTCTGTTGGATGGCCATTTAAATGACCGTTTTAAAATTGCATTTTTACCTACCTTTGCCTCAATCAATATTAATCATCATACTTTAAGTTAAAGCTAAGGATCGTGGATTCTACGGCACGTGGATTCTACGGCATTGAACTTAATATTCCAGCGCTCTTATGAATTCGGAAAAAATTCGTGAAAAAGTAAGTTTTTAAATCCAAAATGCTTGTCTTATCATTATCAATAACAGCAGAAATCGATAGTCTAATGCAATATTTATGTAATTTGAATAAATCTGTATACTTCTCATGGTATTGCATCTTCAAACATTTTTGTAATTTATATCTTAACTTTCGAGAGTATGCGCATAAAAATTGCAAAGATAGAAGGTCTGTGAAGGACCCTGGAAACTTTTCAAAGTCTTTCGTGCAATGCACTTGCATAGTGCATGATGCCAAGTTTCTTTAATCCAGAAAAATAGTTTTTGTACCATGACTTGGCCTTTTTAACTTGGCCTTTTAATTTATGAAACTTCGCTTCAATATGTGTATTCACTGGTCAAAATTAAGAAAGTTATTATTTTATATTGAATAATACACGAAAACCTAAAGATAAAAGCCTATTTAGTAACTCATTAGATAGAAAGTAAAAAAGATAACAATGTTTGTGCTTACGCAGCTAAATAAAAGTACAAAATAAACATAATTTTGGGATAGAGGAATACTAGCCATGATCTAACCGCCGCGGCAAAAAGTGCTTCCTTTCTTGAATTGTTGGTCAAAGAATGAGTCTGCAGCAAAATTTTATGGCGTAGGAACTCGAGAGAAACTTTTTGAATGTATGAGAAAAACAATGTTTCGCAACAGAGAGAACTGCACTTAATTAATGACCAGTAAGGTAGAGGACGACACTATATCGAAAAATGAAGTATCTTTGCATGTGTTGAGGTGCGTAATGTACTTTTACCTAATTAGATTTCCGCGCGCTCAAGTTCATTTTGAATGAATATTAATTAAATGCGATTCTTTTACGATGTATTTTGGGACATGAGAGTCTGTCCCAACAAAACAACTGAGCCCACATCAACGGTAGACCATGGCCGTGTAATCAGTATAGGATCTTCCTAAGAAAAAATGAAATTAAATGGTTAAATGACGCATTTTCGATACTTTTGTTTGTCATTAGTGCGTCGATACTCAACCATCTTCCTCTACTACACCCATTTCCTCGATTTTCAGCTTGTTGTTTAGCAGATAAAAAACATGAATTTTTATTTGTAAACGTCAGACCTCATCTAGGCAAATAATGTGAATGAAAAATAGTTTTGAACTCTTAAACTGTACATCTTCTCTACCAGTTGGTCAAATTACAACTGGTAATGAATAAATAACACTCACTTTCACGAGAACGAACGTTAATAATGTTGATATGTGACTTCAACAGCTTAATTGTCAAAACGCAAAAATCATTTTAATTGGGATAGCTGAATAAATATTTTTTTCCAACCTATAATAGATAAAAAAGAACGAAAAATATTAATAAAACAAATAACTGTACATTGTCCTTACGTCATACGATCTCTTCTGTGCTGATTTTCCAATGGCACCGAAATGCAAAGGTAAATTACAACGAAAGTTTTCATTTACACCTCACTGTTTTTTCTGTGGAGTCTCTGAAGCCAATGGTAATAAATACAGAACAATAGGTAATGAATTGCAAGAACGGAAATTTCGCTCAGAGATTGAACCAGTATTTCCTAAATTGAAAAATTTATCGTCGTTGATTGGTGCTGATTTTCATCATCAGTGTTACTCCAAATACTCTTTGAAAACAAAACGATGACGTGACACGACATTACCGCGAACGACATTACCGCGAATACAAAAAACGACATTACCGCGAAGACTCGTTTATTGGAAAAGAAGAATAAACGAGCCTGGTTTTGTACTTTGTATATCATGTGGAGGGAGGTGGGAGGTGGGGAGAGGGCATTGTGAGAGTGAGTTCGAAAAGTATTTTCACATAAAACATATTATCGTAATGGGAAACTAGATATCTGTGGTTGTATCAGATAATGACTAGTCACCACATAACGTCAGTTAAGTTTGAAAACATGATGTACAAAATACAAAACCGGCCTGATTTATTCGGCTTTTCCA